GGGGGGGACGAGAGGGGACTGAATATGTGGGAAAAATAGGTACCAGAACGTATCAACTTTACTCGATTTTAAAGTCACTAATTTGTCGGCTCTCCTCTAAATAGATACAATTAAGTACTTCATATTTGAATGTTGGGGTGTGCGATAGGCTCACCTCCACGTGGTGCACCCTGGGCAACGCATGCTCATACGGCAAAAAAGTCTATAACTTGGCAGTTGACTTCTGACTTCAAACTACCATCACTCCACTGTATGTCATATTCCACCACTTCCACAGTAATCATCTTACCCTTTCTCTGCCTCTGTCTGTCTCTTTTACATCTGTGAATCGCTCCTCTGTTCCCCACCCCTCGACTTTCTGCTACTTTGAGGAACCTTCCCTCTGTGAAGCTCGAAGTGAGCTAAATGGCTGATGATAGCTATCAAAACGTCTGCCATTTAGAATAAATATTTGAATGATTCCAATTTAACTTTAAGGCTGTATGCCTATTAACTGAAGTTTTTCATACTTTAAATTGGCTGAACATATCATTTCAAAGCTTTAGTAACAGTAATATTAGAATGAGGTTCCGTGCTTTTTAGCATAGCATAGCTCTTGCTAGGTTACCTATATGCCGTTTTTTGTACAGGATTTTCTAGAATAAAGCGAACGGAATTAGTGATTTCGCCTTTCTCATTTCGGTCACAACGAATTCGCAAAGGTCATTGGTTGTTGGCAGCCTCTTCTGAGACAAAAAGCTGTCAATGTGACAATCACTTTAGAAAATCTATTTACCTTTGCACACGTCTAATGATCTATATAATTACATTTAGTATGTACCATTTGGAACTCTATTTCATTCGGCTTCCAAATTATGGGCAGCTGATGTATGACCGATATTTGTTGGCGATTAAATTACAATTTTGAAAAATTTTCCAACACCAATCCACCTAATTGAACCGCTTAAATTATTAAACTACCCTAAAAATCTTTGTATCTAAAAACCTAAGATTAACTCAAAGTCGAACTTTCGCCTTATTTAAAAGAGGAGAACTGTCTGTTCCGAATTAAAGTCAGCGTTAGATAACTGATTCAGTCGGGCATAATGAAAAATCCCATACTATACTACGGCTGTTAAGTAACGTCTTCATTTAGATATTAAAACAAATCTATTTGTGACCTTTTGCGGCATGACGAGTACATTCCGGTCTACCGATTTCAGTTTTCTTGGTTTGGATAATGCTTTCAAAGTAGATTTACTCTATTATACATAGAAGTCATGTCACCCCCCCCCCCCCTAAATTTAGAAAAAAAGGTAGATCAGATACGCCGAAACTATCTCTCCTGCTTCGCTTAGCTTCATAACTAGTGAAATGGCACTTCTAAGCTTCCAAATGGCCTGATAGGATGGATTTTAAGGAGTTGATAAACACTTGAATGGCGCCGGTGTCATTAACATTACTCCCGTCTTCACCATCTCTCCATGAGCTCTTAGGGTAGGAGTGGATATTTAAAGTGCGTACCACACGACTTCATGCGTGTGGTCGTGTAACTACTGGCGCCAGTTGGGCGAATACGCTTTGTTGCCGTCGCTTATACGCACGCACACTGGGACGCCATAATAATATAACGCACGTCATGCGTTTCAACCAATAGGAAATCGAGCAGGGTAGAGGAAAGAAAATTCGCAAATCACTTCTTCCCCCCTTTCCCTTCCAGTAGTTTGGTGAAATCGATTTTTGCTCCTTTAATTATTGGTAATACAGTTAAAGCAGTAAAAGCAGTTAAAATTAAAACAGGTAGTTTATTAAGAAAGAAGCGTATAAAAATAGAAAATGAGTTAGATAAAACAGTCATTTTGAATTAGATACACCTACAATTAAAATGTACACATATTAAAACCATTTCCACTATAGGTATTTACATTTAGCAGTATAGTTACCATGAGCCTTTAATTTTCAATAGATATTGATGGTGGGGGCTCAGTAGAGTCTATTTTCTTGACTTCAACTTCAACCCCTTCTGATCTAGAATTTTCTTCAGGATTTTTTGACTCAGATGGCCATCTAATTATTCTTCCGAGAGCTAGTACTTCTCTTGGACTCCGTACATTGCCATTACCGATTGCTTGATAGTAGGGGATTTCAAGAGAACTGAACTGGAAATTTCCCCCTTGACTTCGACTGTTCATTCCACTATCGTTGGCGATTCGAGTTCCGGATGGCTTGAGTATGACAGCATCCACACTTTCACGGCTTTTGTCGACTTCCTTAACTGATTCTGAAAATGCATCGTCTAGCGTTTTCTTGATTCGAAGAATAGGTAACCGTACATCGGGTATTGCATGCCAACATTCCTGCATTAAGCTTGCACAGCGGGAGAGAATTTTTGACCTCATCCATCTCTCTGAAATAGGTGGGCGTTCCCCTTGCACATGAACAACCTGACGCATTTCCGCAAAGCTTGGATCAGAGGAAACTTTATCCCAGTAGGGGACATTAGCCTGGTAGACCTCGCCTATAATTTAGAAATTTTGTAAAGATAAGTCCTTTCAAACAAGCCTGTGCCAATCGTTATATACCAATCTATAGCTCTTGTTCTTCTGCCTTAAATGATTAAATAAATGTCCCTATGTGCACAAAAAAAGTAGCCTACCACCTTAAAGGTCTCTAAGAGCAAGGAGTTCTGATTAGCCTTCATACTTTATGGGTTCGAAATACCATTAAGAAATAAATTCAAGTAACTTGATAACTTCCCAAGTTTCAACTTATGCTCAATAAAATAGGACAATATCGTAAAATCCTCATGAAATATTTCTTACCCTGGTCAGTAAGACATCGGCGGAAAATCTCCCAGAGCACTAATCCAAATGCATAGACATCAGCAGCCTTGAGTTCTTCAAAATTAAATTCCAGCATTACTGTATTCTGTGTGATATCATTGGCACGATTTCTACTCTGTAGATAAGCAGAAATTTCAAAGTCATTGGGTAGGATTCCTTCACCAGACTCTGAGCATTCCTCAAAATTTCCATCAGCTAAAATTTCGGGTGCCATGTAGCGTTTGGTTCCAACTTTATGATTGGGTCGACCAATGTCCATTTCTGTGGAACCAGGAGCTTGCATTACGGCCAGCCCGAGATCACCGATACTACAAGTTCCATTTGCTTGAACGAGAATGTTCTTGGATTTGATGTCTCGATGGGCGATTGCAGGCTTGCCCTAGGTGATTGCAAAAATAACTATTAACTTACCATCTTCACATACGTTTAAGTAAACTAAATTTTAGTTGTTATAAAAACCAATTTTAGCAAAAAGTTCGTATTTTTCATGGTCAAAGATGTTCTAACTTTTTTTTAAAATCTCAATAGGTAATGACCATGAAATTAACTCTATCCTACTGTGAATTCAATGATCAGTAGTAAACAATATCACTGTCATTTCACAACGGAGGCACTGATAATCAAAGGCCTACGAATAATTATATATATATATATATATATATATATATTTGGTTCGGGGATGAGTTTCTGGCTGAATATTTATATAATTATTCGCAAAAGCATTAAATATTGAAAGGGAAATTCAGTTTTCAAGCAAATAACTTTATAAATAGTATTAACATCTCATATATTTAATTAACCTCCATATAATTGCGGAAATTAGCTGGTTCTCACTGCCTTACTGAAAAGCAAAAAACACATTATCAGAAAAAAAGTTGTAATTTCAAGATACTTCCATCTACCCTAACAAGGAGGGGGGGGGGGGGGGGGGGGGG